AGCCACAGGTTTTACTCTAGGGCTTATGGCTAGCTTGTGCTTACCACCGAAGTGTCAAGGTTAGACATATCAGCAAGGACCCAAGCAAAAATGTATATATTTTTTCGAAGAAATTCAATAATTTCAACCTCCTCTTCGGTTGAGAGAGCTACCCTGATTTGTGTTATTTGGTGGGACTCCAGGCCAATTTGTACCTGCTTTAGCTCTTCAATTGGCATTAGACTGCCCTCTTTTGATTCGACCAAAGGGTCGAGACCAAAAAATTGTACATCATGCGGTTTGCAGGTAGGACCTTGTTTCTGACTTTTGTGCATCCTTAGACGATCTCTATAACATTGTCTGGCCAGATCTTAGTTTCCCTTCATCACCCCGATCTTTCTGTTCTCTAATGGGAATTTCATGGTGAGGTATAGTGTGGACTTGGCCGCCTCCAAAGCATTAAACATCGGTCGACCTATTATGATGTTGTAAGGAGACGAGACATTGAACACCATGTATCTGACTTCTGTCTCTTTTGAATTTTTCCTGCCTCCAAAGATAGTACTTAGGGTTATGTACCCCAACACTTGTACCTATTCTCCTGAGAAACCTACTAACGATACCTTGAATGAACGTAGAAGATCCATATCGAGTCCGAAGCCTTGGAAAGCCTTCCAATACAAGACATCTGTCGAGCTTCCCGGATCAATGAGCACTCTTTTTACATCCCACTTTCTAATTTGTACGTCAATGACCATGGGGCCATCCTCGTGTGGTGCAATTCTTTCCGCATCTACCTTCAAGAAACTGACTTGTACATATGACGAGTGACGTCCCATACGTGGTGTTTTGGAGATGTGCATTATCTGCCTAACATAGTTCTTTCAGCCTCTGTTTGAATCTCCTTCCCCCGAGAAACCACACACAATGGTGTTCAGGGTGTGGTGGGGCGTGTTGTATTTCCTCTGTGCCCTTCAGGGTTTCTTGGATGGGCTTCATTGATCCCTGTCCCGATTCGGATGTGACCGAAATTCTCTTTGCACGTACTTCTAAAGGCGACCCTTCTAAACTAGTTTCTCGATCTCCTGCTTGAGGTGGTGACAGTCCTCAGTATGGTGGCCTCTGGTCTTGTGATATTTGCAGTAAGTGTTGGAATTAATTCCTCTGGAGTCCCCCCGAGTGAGAGGGGCCTCCGGGATTACTCGAGTAGTGTACGTCTCCTGTAGGATCTTTTCCCTACTAGTGTTGAACAATGTTAGGTTTGCCATGGATCGTTTTTCAAAACGGCCCGCTCGAGGAGGCCTTTTCCTTTCGAACAATGACTCCTTGTATTTTTTGGATCTCGTCCCCTCAGACAGAGGGATCAAAACCTTCTCCTTCGTATTGATTTCTTCTCCACATTGCTCTCTTCCCCTCAGATATAGCATTCATCTCTGGTGGTGATGTCTTACATTGAGGTAGTTGACTTTTGAGCCAATGACTCGTTGAAGTGTCTGACCCGAAGGCCTTTATGAAATTCCCCCACAGACATCTCTTGGTTAGGATGTGCTACCTTGATAGTCTCCTCGCTGAAATAGGCATGTACTCTTTAAGCAATTCATCTTGTCCTTGTCATACATTGAAAAGGCTGGTGGTTGAAACCTTCTGATGCTTGCTAGCTGAGAACTGATGTATCAATTTCTTGGCCAATTCATGGTAGCTCGTTAATGAATGCTTGGGGAGCCCTATGTACCAGCGAAGGTCAACTTCTTTCAAGGTCTTGGCCATCAGTTTTCACTTTAGCGATTCGCTGGCTCCAATGATCTCTATCTAGGTGTTCACTGTCAAGATGTGTTCATGGGGGTCGTGTTTCCCGTTGAATGAGGAAAGCTGTAGAGGTTTGAAGTTTTTTGGGACCAAGTCATTCCAAACTTTCTCAAACAGTGGCTGAGTATCAATTTGATCGTCTGGGTCCACTACCTCATGTTGGTTTGGAGGGTTCTGCTAGAGACCATTCACGGTGTTATGTAAATCTTCATTCTGCTATCGTAAGAGCTCAATAACGGCGACCAGTTGTTCCATGACTTGGGCTTCCCGATCGTTATTGTTTGCTCCTCTTCTGTTCTGTCTATTAGAAATCTTGTGCGATCTATGAGAGTTTTACCAGACCCCACGGTGGGCGCCAACTGTTCTGATAGAACAATATTGATAACCTCCCTGATGCTGGTTGGGAGAGGCTGTAATGTTTATAGTGAAGTATTGTATTGGTTATTGCCTAATTTTCCCTTGGACTCAAGCCCTCTTTTATAGTTCCCAGCCTAGACCAGGAGGATCCTTTGTGTTTATGGCTATCATGACACTTTATTGCTCTTGTCTCCCTGTCGGGAGGGCCATGATAAGTGTTTACTTGATCCTGTCGGGTTGTCCCCCATGGATTGATTGACGGGACCTATTTCAAAGGCGGGATGATATATTTCTATTTGTGGCCTAGGGCCCAAAGGTTTAAGAGGCCCCGTGTTGTTTTAGGTAGCTGAGACCGTTCGAGATGATTCCAGTCGGGGCATAGGTCCTGAATGTTCATGAATAATGAATAAAATCTTTGAGCTAGAGAACATTGACATGCTAGAAGTCTACATTAGATGACTTTATAGTTAAATTCGAGAATGAATAGTTACATGAAGGCAAACTTATTATCGTATTCAACCGTGTACGCTGGTTCAGCATGAAGTTGAACCCGGAGAAGTGCACGTTTTAGGCCAAGGTAATGAAATTTCTTGGATTCTACCTCACCGAAAAAGAAATTGAAGCAAACTCAAACAACTGAGACACCATCATCAAGATGGAGACTCTGTCCGTAAACTGTAGAGTCAGGTCAAACTCTAGAAAAACTCCCCAGATAACTCTAAATGTAATAGCGTGAAGTTCAAAACGCGTACAAAAAGCCTCTAATAGTCCGACCCAATTTGAATGAACTATTAGACTAAGCCATACCCCAACTTTGTTGGTCCATAATGGAAAGATTATTGTTCCGACGCCTAACACACTAAGACACAGTTAATCAAAATTCAGCAATCAAGAGATCGTCCAGATGATATACTCGACCTAAGACTGTGATTAGTATAGATAAAATATAATAGAGAGAAATAACCAAGAGAGAAGTAAACGAGAAAGAGACAACTTCTCTCGTTTAGGACAAAATAGAAATAACTAAAAGAGAAAGAATTAGTATGAGACTCATATATTTTTTGAGTTTCCTTACATCTGAAGAAAGGGGACACGACAAAGTATTTTTTTAATTTTACCCTACAAATGGATATGTATTAGTTCTATCACCAATTTTATAAACAACTTAATTTTACCCACGTTAATTATTCAATAGTAATGATGAGTTGATCTACGGTTGGACGAAGAGAGAATAATATTTACTGTAGCCTATAATTTATTTATTTTAGATAAAAAGATAAAGATGAGTTTAGAAAGAGAATAATAAGTTAAGTAAATTAAATTAAATTGAAAATATTAATCATAAAAATTAATAATAATTATAATAATTGTTAAAATAATTTGAAGTAGTGAAATTATTTTTTTGAGTAAGATTAATAAAATTAATTAATAAATTAAAATTTTAAATCAATTTACACTTTAAATTTTTAAATATTAAAAATATTTTTATACTTTTAAAAATAATCTACACTTCTGTCTTCTCTATTTCTCTTCTATTTCTTCTATATCAAATAATATATCAAATCTATTCTATTTTTCACTTTCTTCTCTCTTCTCAATCTTTCTCACATACTTCTCTCTTCTTAATTTCTCTTTACAATCAAACAAAGTCTAAAAACACACCAAATTGAGATCTCCGAACCGTCATAGGCTTAAGCATAGTCGGACTCTATATTTGTATCTTATGCATTGATATGTCACCGCACGGTGGTTTCGATATTATTTAAATATACTTATCGTTGTCCTTGATTTTGGCAAGGAAATAATGAGCCTCACATTTAAACTTTCTTTTTCTAATTCTGCACAGTATTAAATTTACGTGTGCATCAACCTAACATTAACATTAATTATCCTTTATTGCTAGGCCAAATTTCATATTCAAGTACAGGTACTAGTGCAAGCTCCAACCGTTTCCTAAAACCTAACTAACAATAAATTTGCAACCCCCATTTGTCAGAGTAATAGTTGGCCACATTTCAATTTCAATAAAATAATAATATAGAGAATAATATTAAATACTATATTATAGATGAAGTAATTTTTTTTTTATATAAAAGCTAAGAAATTTAGTCAAAAAAAGGATTAATAACCGACATATTACACCAATGAACCCATTTGACATTTAGCCATAAATAGATACATACTTGTCCTTTGGTGGCTCCAATATTAATGAAACTCATGGAGTCCTCATGACCCACTACTCCAACCATATTCTCTTCAATGTTGTCTCAAAAAGTTCCATTTCCATGCTTGTTTTCAGATTCACCTTTCTACCCTCTTACACAACACAACTCTATGGTCCTAATTACAAGACAGAATAACCAAAAACAAGCATGGAATTGGAAATTCACTCAATTCACCAAGCCTTAAAATTAAAACTATATGGAAATTATTCTAAAATTAAATAGTACATATTCAAATTTGGTCACAAGAGAAAACCTAACACTTTTAAATTTTGTAGTTGCTCTACAAATTTTTATATTACAATCAAATGCGAGAAATGTGGCCAATGATATTTTTCCGTTGCAGACTGCAATTTAAAATCATACGATGTCGAGAAAATTAATCTTGAACTTGTGAGCTTTGAATTTGCTATCCTCTCCAAAGATTGTATCTTTCTTCATGCGACATTAGTTCTAGCTATTGTTGTATAAACATTCATTCTTGTTGCGTCATGGGCATGCAAGAATATGATGAAGACTCCATAAAAAGAAGAAAGTAGAAAATGATGAAATTGTGTTATTGAAGTTGTATATGCATAAAAATGGTGAGTTTGGATTGATATTGGGATATAGATATAGATAGAAGTAGAAATAGAATCAGTTGTGAAGTGGGTTTGGTCCAGTTGGAACTAGTCTCTTCTCTACACCAAATCTTGGATCAATCTCATAATCATTAGAAGGTGAAACTTGTTTATGCAATCTTTGTAGTTTGGTGCATAAGGAATGAGTGTTTCTCTTAGAAAAAGAATCACAATCAAGATGATGATGATGTTGGTTGTGAGTGTTTCTTGAAGAAGGTGAAAAGGGGTGTTTTGAGGAATGAAGTCTACAATTAGCTAAAGAGAAGAAAAAGAGAAGAAACAAGAAGATGAAGAGTCTTCCACATGGTGAAGATAGAGATCTCTTCATTTCGAAAACAGAGGAAAAACAGAGGAATGAGAAGTGAAAAGTGATGTTTGATGATGAATGAAAGAAGGGTGTGAAATGTGAAATGTGAAATGTGAATGATGAGGATGATGACGTTTAAAGAAAATGAAGGTATTAATGCAAAACAAGAGACACATGAAAGTGTGTAATGGCAAAGAAAAAGAAAGGGGGGCTAGGTCAATTAATTTTAGGGTTTTGGATATGTAGTCACCAATCAAGTTCACATCTTTCAATCACATCAAAAAGGGTCATGTAGTTTATATGTAGATGTTTATTATAATGTATGGTGTGGAATGTGTATGATTCAAACAATTGTGACTTTTGGGATGGCCAAAGAAAAAAGAAAGTTGGGTTGGAGAGGGAAAATGGTATTTTGGGTTGGGTGATTTTAATGACCTATTATTATGTATGGATGGTTGTGTTTGACTAGTATGTGTTCATGATGTATACCTAAATAATTTCTTATTTTTAATCAAGAAAAGTGAAACAAGTTGTTTTGTTTTTTAGAAAAGTGGGCTAAAAGTTTGATATTGTATCTTATTCTAGTACTCTATAAGGGTTAGGTCATGTGTACCTTTGATAAAGGGTATGTAACCAAATTATGAATTGTTATTGCGGTTTTTTTTTTCATCATATTTTATTGTGTTATTAATGTTTTAAAAATTGGTATGTTTTGGTATGATTTTATTTAGTTATAAACCACATAATAAATGTGATGCCTAAGTTGAATTCTAATGAACTAAACATAAATTAGATTCACTTGATTTAATTCATAATGATCTAGGAGATTAAAAACAAATTCAGCCAAGACCTATAGTTGTTATGTGACTTTCATAGATGAGATGAGATATACTAAGATTTATTTATTGGAACATAAAGAAGTGTTTCTGAAAAAGAAAGTATTATACATGAAATAACTCCACATTATTCTTTTGAATTTAACACTGCAGGTTGAAAGAAAACTAAAAGAATGAATGTTATGCTAGCTAATTCTCGCACACATACATGACAAGAATTGGGGTGAAACCTTATTCGTTTTTATCTTCCTATTGTTAAATAAAATTTCGCATATGTAAAAACCCTATAAATTTTGAAGAGGTTATCAATCTAATGTGAAATATTTAAAAGTGTTATTGGAAATATAATTTAGTTAATATCTACAATTCTCAATGTTTATTTTTTAATAGGGTCTTTTTGAATTTTCAATTTTAGTATAAATATGTTATCTAGGCTATCAATATTGTAACTCATTCATTCCTCTATTTGATATACAATAGTAGTCCTCTTTGTTATCATTCATTGTTCATTCTTCTTCTCCCTTTCATTACCTTGCACCAACAAATTGGTATCAAGAGCACTTGGTTCTGTTTTCCTGAGAAACACGAGTGTTTGTGAGCTGTGTGTTTGATTTTGGTTCATTGATTTTCTGTTAAAATCTTGAACAAAATCTGATTCGGTGGGTTGGGAAACAGTGTGTTTGAAAATCTGAAAAATCCGTGCAAAGTTTAAAATGAGTGGAGGCAGTAGTTTGAACGCCAAACTTCTAGTTTTTAATGGCAAAAACTGGAACAGATGGATGATACAAATGCGTGTGTTGTTTGGTGCGCAAGATGTTCTGGATCTGGTTACAGATGGTTATGTACCAACTGCAGCAGATGCAACTGAAGAACAAAGAACTACTGAGAGGATGATGAGGAAGAGGGACCAGAAAGCTTTGTTCTATATCCATCAATGTGTGGATGAAAGTGTGTTCGACAAGATTGCTGATTCAACAACGTCAAAAGGGGCGTGGGATTTACTGGTGAGATGTTACGGTGGTGACGCATCAGTAAAGAAGGTGAAGCTTCAATCCCTACGAAAGCAATATGAGAACCTGAACATGAAGAGCAGTGAGAAAGTTTCTGAATATATCTCCAGAGTGATTTTGATCACTAACGAGATGAAGGCGTGTGGAGAAACTCTGTCTGAACAGGTAATCATAGAGAAGATTATGAGGTCGCTTACTCCTCAGTTTGATTACATTATTGTTTCTATTGAACATTCTAAAGATCTGGAAACCATGAGAATAGAAGAATTACAAAGCAGCTTAGAAGCACATGAGTTACGTCTGTCAGAGAGAACTTCTGAGAGGGAAGCTGAGCAAGCTCTGAAGACTTCTTTTGTCAAGAAAGACCAGAAGCAGAATAAATGTGGTGATAGATTCCAGAAGTCAGAAGCCTCAACTTCTGATGATAAGAAATATCATAAAGGAAAGGAGAGGTATGACAAAAGGAAGGTTCAATGTTACTCTTGTAAACAATTTGGCCATTTTTCCAGAGATTGCAGGTCAAACAAGGAAAGGAAATCAAAAGAAGCATATATGGCTAAGAGAAACTCTGATGACGAACCTGTACTACTAATGGCCTCTGATTTTGATGGAAAATGCTCAGAAGATTGGTGGTATATGGACACTGGTTGTTCAAATCATTTAACTAGAAACAAACAATGGCTGACATACTTTGACTCCAGAAGGAGAACAAAGATCAAATGTGTTGACGATAAGTATCTTAATGCAGAAGGTATGGGAGATGTCAGAGTTAGAGTGAAGAATGGGAAAGACATTTTGATCAGAGACGTTTGGTATGTTCCTGGTATTAGAAGTAATCTAATGAGCGTAGGTCAGTTGATTGAGAAAGGTTTCTCAGTTGTTATGAAAAACAATCTTCTAATGTTGTATGATTCAAAGAAGCTTGTACATGGTATTTCGAAGATTGTGAAGCCTGAGAAGTCATGTGAGATATGCATGAAAGGCAAGCAACCTAGATTTCCATTTACATCAGAAGTAGCCCCCAGAGCGAAGCATGCTCTGGGAGTAGTACATTTTGATGTGTGTGGACCATTTCCAGTACCTTCACTTGGAGGAAACAAATATTTTGTGTCTTTTGTGTATGAGTTCACAAGAATGACATGGGTAACACTCATCAAGTTCAAGCATGAAGTGTTTACTGAGTTCCAGAAATTCAAAGTGAAGGCTGAGAAGTAGAGTGGTCAGAAGTTAAAAATTCTGAGAACGAATGGTAGAGGTGAGTATAACTCTACAGTGTTTCAGAAGTTATTTGAGAAGAGTGGAATAGAACATGAGGTTACTGCTCCATATACTCCTCAGCACAACGGTCTTGTTGAAAGAAGAAACAGAACTTTGCTTGATATGACCAGAAGCATGCTGAAAGAGAAAAAGCTACCTCACGTGCTATGGGGAGAAGTTGTTACCACATCAGCATATATTCTGAATAGGTGTCCAACGAAGAAACTGAAGGAATTGTCCCTTTAGAGAAATGGACTGGAGATAAGCAGTGTGTCAGTCATCTGAAGGTGTTTGGCTCTGTCTGTTACAAACATGTTCCAGAAGCTAGAAGACAAAAACTGGATGATAGAAGCAAAGTAATGTTGCTGGTGGGGTACCACAATACAGGTGCGTATAAGCTTTATTGTCCAGAAACTAATAAAGTTGAAGTCAGTAGAGATGTTGTGGTGAAAGAGTCTGAAGTATGGGATTGGAACAAATCTCAATCAGATTCTGGTGCAGTGCCAACACCAGAGTTATCCTCTGAAGATGTTTTAGAAAGTTTAGAAGATGAACCTGATTCTGAAGATCTTGAAGATTCTAAAGATGAGTCAGAAGAAGATTCTGGAAATGGATCTGATTCTGATCCAGATGCTGATGATGATCCAGAATCTGGCGGTGATCATAGTTCTGGAAGAGAAAACTCTGAAGGTGGTAACTCTGAAAGTATTAGTTCTGGTGCAGCTTCAGAACAAGCTCAAAGACCACAGAGAATCAGACAAAAACCAAGAAGGTTTGCAGATTTTGACATGCTACGGGATAATGAAGTTGACTCTGAAGGAAAAGTCGTTCAGTGTGCCATGTTAGTAGATTCTGAACCAATGGGCATTGAAGAAGCTCTTAAGAAGAAAGAATGGCTTAATGCCATGAAAGAAGAACTTGAGGCAATAGAAAGGAACAAAACTTGTAAATTGACTAAACTTCCAGATAAGAAAAAAGCCATCAGCGTCAGATGGGTTTTTAAGTTTAAACTTAAGCCAGATGGTTCAATTGGAAAGCACAAAGCTAGACTAGTAGCTAGAGGTTTTCTTTAGAAACCTGGGCTAGATTAATTTGAGGTATTTACGTCTGTAGCTAGGCATGAAACAATCAGACTAGTGATTGCTTTAGCTGCAAATAGAAATTGGCCTTTAATGCATCTGGATGTGAAGTCTGCATTTCTGAACGGTCCATTACAGGAATAAGTTTATGTGTCACAACCTCCTGGATTTGTGAAAAAGAATCAGGAAGGGATGGTATACAGGTTAAATAAAGCTCTGTATGGACTGAAGCAAGCGCCTAGAGCTTGGAATCTGAAAATTGATTCGTTTTTCAAGAAGCAGAGGATTCAAAAATGTGAGATGGAATATGGAGTTTATGTACAACACTCTGATAACAATATGATTCTGGTGTGTCTCTATGTTGATGACATTTTTCTAACAGGTAGCTGTCCAGAAGATATAAAGAAGTTCAAAGAAGTTCTGATGAATGAGTTCGAGATGACAGATCTAGGAAATATGACATATTTCCTAGGGATGGAGATTCTGTACTCGAAGAAGGGTATTATTCTGCATCAGTTAAAGTACCAACTAGAACTTCTGAAGAGATTTAAGCTGCAGAATTGAAAATTTGTTGTGACACCATCAGAAACCAATCAAAAATTGGTTTCTGACTCTGATGGTGATTCTGTTGATTCTACAACCTTCAAACAGTTGGTTGGTTCTCTAAGGTATTTATGTAATACTAGACCTGACATTTGTTATACAGTTGGATTGGTTAGCAGATTCATGAGTAATCCAAAGTGGTCCCATTTCCAAGCTGCTGTCAGAATTCTGAGATATATCAAGGGAACCCTGAGATATGGATTGTTGTTTCCTTTTGAAAGAAAGACAAAATCAGAATTAGTAAGTTATTCTGATTCTGACTGGTGCGGAGACAGAGTGGACAGAAGAAGTACTTCTGGATACTTGTTTAA